AACGCTGGTGAAGCTGAACGCTGAGTACACCCCAGAGTTCACCTCCCTCCAACACATCGTCGATGGCAAGGCTCCCAATGTTGTGGACTCTACCAAGTCAGCAAGACTCACCTTGATGGGCACCCGCCCGCTGATAGCAGCCAGGTACATGGAAAAGGAGCTTGAATGGTAGGTGGCTACAGATGTGTCCTTCACGATCCCCAAGGTAGAGGAAGGCCAGAATGTAGCCAAAATTCTCCAAGAACAGGTAACAAAGGACTTCCCACTGGACCTGTATGAATCGATGGAGTCAATCAGCCAGTCAAAGGTCAGTTCCTCGCAAAGAGAACACGATAAGCAGCAGGGCCAGCCAATGGAGGAAGAACGGCATGCCCCCGCCGCCTTGTTCCCCGTGATAGCCAAAATGCCAGTCAACACCAAGCTCAAAAGTGGGATGATGTGGAGACAATGGAGGACAGTCACATCGATACCATATAGCGTGCTAATGGGCCAAGGCATTCCAGCAGAATTGCTGGCAGCCTCAGTGGCACAACTTTTGAGCGTGGGAACTCTCTGTGGAGACAGCAACTTAGAATCAAGAGCCATCACGATGGACCTGGACAGGATCTACATGAGTGACTGCTCTAAGGACGGCATGGGAGAATGGCACAAGGAAGAGGAAGATAGCGGTTCAAAGTCGAGCCTGTCCTCGAACCAGGGAGGCAGTGCAAGTATTGGAGAGTATAAGATGGATGACACAACAACTAAGACATAACAGCATCTGCCGGACGGCACCACATCAGCCATGGAGGCAACTGATTCGGACCCCTCTTAGATAACCCATGCTCATTAATCCTTCACCATTAACCCTCCAACTCGCCAGTGATTGAAGCTTTCAGGAATAGGGCGAATCCCAAACAAGAAACCAAAGCCCTCCAAGTCAAATGGATCACTAAACTTCTAACCAAACCAGGTACAGCATGGAATAAACTAGCTCTAGACAGCATCAGAGGCTTAGCCCCGATACAGACCCCAGCAAACATGTCCGGGCTATTCTGGGTAATGAACAAGGAATGGATGCCAAAAACAGGACGCAGAAATCGTAGACAAGGAATCAACCCTCTGGAAGCCAGACCTCCCACACCCTACTGGGAAGCTCTGCTACAGATATGGAGGGAAATCATGCCAAAAAAAGTCGGCAAACCCAAGTCTAGGGAAGAAGTACTGAGGCACCCCCTCTTTGGCAATCCATGGTTAAGAGACAAAAGTGATCACTCGCTCTCCCTCAAACCCAAAGGAACACAATGGCTATTATGGGTAAAGCAGGGAGTGTGGAACATTGGTCATGGGTGGGATGAAGAGAAAAAAGACTGGGTAACGGACCAGGAACTTGCCTCTCGCCTTAAGGGCTGCCACCGGCGAGACAGGAACCTACAAACACTCATTAACAGTATCCCAGAAGGCTGGAAAGAATTGCTGAAGGGAACGTCAACTTGGAAAACGGGCGAATGGGGTATTTGGATACAGGAAACGCCCCCCTCGAGGGCCTACCAATTCTCACACAAACAACCGGGCTCCAATACACTTGCTATATTCACGTCCTACCCAACTTTGTTGTCAGCCCATGGCTCTGCAGCTATTTTGGACAAAGACGTGGAAAGGACAAGCCTAGACATCTTCCTCCTCAGAAAAGTGAGAGTTACGGGATCCTGGCCCAAAACGATCTTCAGAATGGACACAGCGATCCAGGACCTGGAATTCGACCCAGCGGAATGGGCCTGGACATCAGGTAGAAACAAAAATACCAATATAATAAATATATACATCCAGGACTACTCAGTGAAAATTGGTTACAAGCTATTCCTCAAGACTAAAGATCCGGAACCTACAATCAGATGCAGATGGCAAAAATTAATTGGTCAAGAGGCAGATCAGATCTCACAAATGCCATGGAAGAAATTCAAATCAATCAGGCCGGTCAAAATAAGGAGTCTTCAATGGCTTATCGCCTACATGGCACTACTGGTTAACCAATGGCTCCACATTCGAAGATGAAGGAATGATCCTAACAGTTCTGATCTATGCACAGTCTGCTCAGATAATGAACCGGAAGACATACTGCACTGCCTAATCGGAGGTAAGGAAGCGCCGGAGTACTGGGCTAGGGCCTCGGACCTCTGGGACTCCCTTTTCACACCACCCCTCCTTGAACAGCCCATTCAACTTCTACTATGGACTAACATCCCAACTGATCTCAACAGTATAGAGACAACATGGTATCGCATAATCAGAAAAGTTACACTTTGGTCGATTTGGAAAGAGAGATGCAGCAGGACCTTCGAGGGACTATCAACTCAAGGAGAAAAGGTATGGGCGGAGACAAGGTCCCTGATACAGGCAGAGATCCTATGCAGATGGCGAAAAACAAGACAGTCTATGCCCGATGATGAGGACCGAGAGAAGATTGTTCTATCCAAGTTTGTTAAAATTTGGCTGGTGGGGGGGAGGATTGCAGAAATAAGCGACAACAACATACGGTGGAAAGAGTGGCATAACTCAGAAGCGAGCTATAGGATCTCAACTCTGCAGGCAACGGGAGGCCCACAGGATCCACAGGCCACATAAGGATAAAGACGCCTTCTCAATGCTGCTGTAAAACTACACATCTGCTGGTCCCATTTGTCCTTGCTTGACAAGCATATCTGACAGACTCCCGTAGAGGAATCTGAGAGGGAAATTAGGGAAAGGCAAGCTGACAGTCAATCCTCCTAACAGGAGCAATCAATGCTGGTCAGGGTTCCTTCGGCCATACGGAAGGAAGCGTGAGCGTGTATCATGATGTATCCAAAGTTTGACTTGCCAGGGGAATAGGAACCGAACTGACGCTCCCCAGAATGGATATGGAGCCAGGACCATAAGGACCTGTTTAAGGGAAAAATAAAAATAAAAAATGCTTGTCATGCCCAAGCATGGGCTTCTAGTGTCATTTCATTTCATTGTCTGCAGTTCTGGCTTAATTCTTCACTTTAGACTTTGAAGACTATTGAATCTTGCACTAGCCTTGATTTGGACAAAGAGTTTTTGGAAAATGCTGTTGTCAATTGGCTTAATTCTTCACTTTAGACTTCGAAGACTATTGAATCTTGCACTAGCCTTGATTTGGACAAAGAGTTTTTGGAAAATGCTGTTGTCAACTGCGCCAACTGCCACACATCCCATATTCAATTGTTATGTCAATTCCTTCCCAATAACTGAAAATCGTCAATTGCGAGAAGGGGCACACTTACCTGTAGGCTAGGCTATGGTATCTCTCTTTGGATTTGCCGCACAAGCAGATCCAACAGCAAAGAATCAGACCTCACGAGTGACTCCCCTCCTGCTATGACCGCAGGATGACCTGTGGGAATATGGTTGGGGAACTTGGGGCGCAATTGTCTGGGGGTCTGTATTCGCATGCTTTTTCTGGTCTGTTCACCCATATACCAACTGCAGGGCTCAATCTGAGGCTTTCTGGATCTACTCCTGCATCTTTCGGATTTCTACTGCACAGAAGCACACACCACACTATGATGAGAATGAAGCCTGCTGCATCCCCTAGCCTTTGTGAGAACGACTTGATGGAATGTGGTCGACCCCAGGAACATCTGGCTGTCTGTGTGTTCGTCTGCCTGACCTGTCTGTTCACCCGTCTACCAACCGGGTTCAAACTGAGACTGCTGCATCTACCTGTCCATGGGATCTCCACTGCGCAAAGCAAACTGTCATGACAATGAAGCTTGCTGTGTCCTCTACCCTTCTGAGGACAGACTTCGCGACACGCCTGGCTTCTGACGTATTTTACTGATATTCGCTGTCTCCTTGAACTTTCTGCTGCTGTGGAGTGTCCATGGGTGCCAACTGCTTGTGACCTGTCGCAGACTCTGCCTCTTTTGTGTCAGGCCAGAGCGAAGTGACTTTTATCAATCCTCCATGCCATGTGATTTAAGCTGGCGTTCTAAGAGCCGTCCGTCCGAAAGGCCAAACCCTTTGGTTCCCAGAATGTGTTCAATCCTTCGACAAGGTCACTCGGTTCAAAGTTGTTGTGAGGACTACGGAGCGCCAAACTTATGGAAGCTGATTCAGGGTCATGTCTAGGAGGGCAGTGATCGGAGGAGGATGGTGATAGATTGGAGGAGGTCAGTGGGTCTCATATGACCAGACGTAAACTTGGTGGAGGATGCAATATTCCGTCTGCAAGCAACTGCTTGTGCAGCAGCACGTATGACAAAACTCCGGTTTGAACTTTGAAAGTGAATTCTGGACCGAAAATCAGAGCGGTTTTCAATTTGAAGTTTTGAACGTCAACGAGGATTGCTGAGTGAAAGTGGAAGTCAAGGTGGCAAGTCAAAGTGGAAGATGAGAGGAGGTCAGCAGGTCTAATCTGACGAAAAATAAACTTGGTGGAGTCGGCCACATTCCATCCGCAAGCAGGTGCTTGTGCACCACACAACAAAACTTGAAGTAAGCTTCGGAGTCCAGACCGAAATTGGAGCGACTTTCAAAGTGAATGCCAAGGAGGATTGCTGAGTGAAGGTGGAAGTTGAAGTGGAAGTCCAAGCAGAAGGAAAAGTTGAAGTCAAAGCGGAAATTGAAGTGTAAGCCAAGGTAAAAGCACAATATACAGCAATTTCGGGAGCAAATGCCAAAAGGTGTGCTGGATGGACGGCCCAAAGAAAGACATGGAAAGAAGGAGAAGTGAATGGGAACAGGATGGCCCTTCTTCTCAGGCTGGTTCTTCATCTCTGGTAGAGACTGAGCGGCAGGTAGCTGAAGGGACGCGGACAGCAGATGAGACTGCCAGAAGCAGTGTAAATGTTTGCAGTGATGACAGTTCAGTAGTCTGTTCCAGACCAGCTGTTGACAGAGGAGGAAAGCAATTACAAGTTGGTTTGGCACATGACATTGGAATAGAAATACAATCACAAGGTTTAATAATGGGAATGAAAAATCAGAGCTCTCAGTGTTGCTCTCACCTGCTGCAGATGTGGGAACTTGAGCAGGACACACTGCGAGCTCGGTTGGTGACAAAAGACGATGTGCCGTGGAGGCTTCCGCCATACGTGAGGAGACTAGATGCCAGCCCTGCGCTGCAGGAGGGCATGGACACAGAGCTCGACATCACCCGCCGAGTGGGAACATCAAGTTGGAGCTGCAGTGAGGGCACCATGTCGAAGGCATCGAAATGGAGTCCTCACTCGACGTGTCCCATCAATCTCCTGCCAGCTTCAGCATCATCGGATGGCAGCTGTCAGCAGTTCTTCGTGGCTGAGGTTGGCACGATCTTGGAACGTGTGGGTGGAGTTGACATCAGCTTTGACAAATCCGACGGCTCTCTTGCGTGCGCATCTCTTGTTGTTGTGCATGCACAGACTCTCAAGGTTATGTATGCCGATTGTGCCATTGTCGAAATGACGCAGCCTTATATTCCAGGCTTCCTTGCTTTCAGGGAGTGCCCAGCCTTGATTTCCTTGCTGGATCGTGTGGCAGAGGAGCACCCAGCTCTCGCTCCTCAGGTGGTTATGGTTGATGGCAATGGCATCCTTCATTCTCGAGGTTTTGGCCTAGCTTGTCATCTGGGAGTCGTGACGGGGATACCGACAATTGGTGTGGGAAAGACATTCTTCCATGTAGATGGCCTGACAGAAAACAGAGTAAAGCGGGACTCCTTGAGGATGTTGACGGCCCCAGGTGATTGCTGGCCATTGAAGGGGCAAAGCGGCCGTGTCTGGGGTGTAGCTCTGCGGGGAAACAAAGACAGCAAGAATCCTATATTTGTGTCCGTTGGCCATCGCCTCTCCTTGGAGACAGCAGCTGCCCTGGTGCACCATTTCTGCCAGCACCGCATTCCTGAACCTATTCGTCAAGCAGACATTCGCTCAAGGGAGCATCTGCGGCAGCACCGTGTCACTCTGCTGCAGCAGTGACGGAGGGAAATCAGACTCGATCTGGAGACCGCAGCTCCACATTGGAAGATGTGCACAGCAGAAAGGCAAGCCGAGAGCTGCGATCTTAGAGAGTAAAGCTGTTGCTTTCCTGAAACAGTCCACAACAGCTGCTACCCCTTTGTCCTGCTCTCTGCTCTATGCTATTTCAGTCACATTCCGACATTGTCAGCGATGTTATTGAATCACCTATGTGTCTTTTTCACACATCGCCTGAAATTATGGCCTTCCTGAAAGAGTCAACTGCTAGCCCATTCACATGTAGTTAATGGCTAACCCCACTGTCCTTCTCCTGTACCTCATTTCAGTCACATCCTAGCATAGTATTACGGTACTATTACGTCAGTTATGGGTCTTTTTTCACCCAGTGTGTAACTAGGCTCCACCCATACTTCAGGTGGAAAAAAAGAAAGAGAACAAATACGCATTTGGCAATTTGCTGATCATCAAAGGTGCTGCACTCCGTGGGATTCAGAGCCTAGACCTGGCCTAAGTACGAGGTAAGTACAGGTTGCTTGTATTTTTGCTGTTTTTCAAGTTTGCTGCTGACCAGATTTATACCAATAAACAAGAATCAATCAAGACAATAATGAATGAAAATAGTTTAAATAACCTGGGACCTAGAAGTAGAGCCTTTGTGAGCTGCCCCTAGACACATAGGACCTGGACACGTATAACTCACTAGAGTAGGGCGCGGTAGGACCTGGTAGGCCCAGGTGAAATGGAGTCCACAAAAGTGGCAATGTGGTAGCAAATTTCACGTATTCCTAGGTTGGGCATGGTGGCAAGGGGCACTATTTTTAGCGCCTACAAGGAGATACTCTGGGGGCAACCATAGCCTGCGTATTCTGGCACTACACTGTGTTGGTAACTTGTTATCAGTGCAGTTAGTTGTGGCGCTCAGGGTAGCAAGGCGCCCAAGTGAACATGAAAAGTCTCTCCTTTCCACCAAATGTGCTGGTATGGTTCTCCAATACAAGTTTGGTGTGAAGTTTTCTACCAATCGTTTGATTCGCTTTCAGTCAAATTTGTGTGAAGGATGGATGTTGAAATTGTTTGAAGTTGGGCAAACTGCAACACTGGTATCAGAGCAGGAGGGTCGGTCAAGCTGCCACGTCAGCATAGGTGTTATGTCAGCAAGGGATACTGCAGCACACACCTACCTCTGGTAGTCGGCAACTACCTACCTCGTGCCGTACCTCATTTTGCACGGTCTTTTCCAACGATTCAAACTGGGCAATGAAAGAAAGAGGAACGGGGGAATTGAGGAAGTCGTAGTTGGTAGTTGAACTGAAGATCGAGAGCACGTGATCACAGCACAGTAGGCTAGGAAGGAAGGCTGTATGTACGTGTGGTTGTCATCGCCCAAAATCAAAAAGAGAGTTTCTAAAACAAGCTCCAAGATGGCAGCAATCAGGCAGAATGAGATTGCCGCGCTGGAGAGGAAGGCATTGTTGGGGCAGATCGCTGACTCAAAGACGGATGCTGACTACCGTAGTCAACCGCTGATGTCAGCAATAGGTTGGCCCCCCTGTCGACCCTTCAGGCCAGCGTGAAGGATAGCATGGCTGCCATCAAGGATGCGCTGAATGCGCTTACCACAATGGATGAGAGTTGGAATTTCAAAGGAACTGTGCACAGAGAGGATAGATGTCGGGCAGTGTGGTGAACGCGGCTCCTATGGACGCTCAGTCCGTTTCTACAGAGCCTGAAAGCCAGTGAGATGGTGAGACCAGCAGGTGGAGCTGCCCCGCTTGCGCAGATTGGGAGAACGAATCTGCAAGTTGCAGGGTGCCTAGTTCTTCCACTCCCCAATTTAGGTTGGCTAAATCTGGAAATCCCTGCACGGAGGAGCCATACAAGGAGGAAGACTGCAGTAGGGATTGCAACGACGGCGAGGAGAGCAGTTATCGACAAAGTTCTTTTACCTGCCCTCTCCCCATGCTGGAAACACCACAGCATAGCGAAATGGAGAGGGTGATGAGTCTGTGCGCTGCAGTCAAGAAGGTTATGGTGACATGGGAACTCATTGAGGAATTAAGTGAAGGAGAAGAGGTGACCCTGATCAACACCATTGTCGACAGTAAGGTAACGAAGACAATGATTGGCAACGGCTCCTCGCAAGACTACATCTGGGCATGAAGGTTCAGGACCTCCCCTTTCCTGTAGTGGTCAACATCGCGAATGGGGACGTGATCCAGTTCACACTGTGTATCAAGGACATCCCCGTAAAAGAAGAACAAAGTGTGTCCTTCTTTGTCCTTCTTTATTCTGGATGGTTTACCATCCCAGATGGTTCTTGAGTCTTGACCAACGATGATTTTGAGCCACAGGGGCTGTTCTCCCTTTCGCAGCTCAGACATTGCAAGTGCTAGGTTCAACAGGCGGGTATGTGACCTGCATGCATGGGAATGTGAAGGGGGCAGCCAAGGACAAGTCAGGGAAGATGTGCATGCCTGCACCAGCATTGGGAGTCGCTATAGCAGATGCACAGGCCCTTCTCAGCAAAGATGGAGTTTAAGTAGTCCGTCAGAATAGTTCAAGTTCCAACTAGTCCCAAGAAGAGCTAAAGGCATCGAGGAGACCGAGGTCAAGCATCCCATACAAGTTCCAACTAGTCCCAAGGTGCTGTACCTCCTAAAAGGTGGATCTACCACGTCTCCAGCAGATCTCAGATAACTGAAGAAGCAGCTGGTAGAACTCACAGAAAAGGGATGGATCAGATCCAGCACTTCACTGTATTGCACACTGGTGCTGATACCCTGTGTTCCATTCTTAAAAGCTTGAGCCGTACATGCCATCAAGATTCAAAGGCCGAAGAATCGTCCGTCCTCCTAGTAAGGATGGACAAGCAGATGTGGAGAACATTGTTGAACATCAGTTAACAAGGGCATCAGGAAGGAGAGGAAGACCAGGAAAAATCGACAGAGTAAAATTTCAGCACTACCCGTAGGAAGAGGAAGAGGAGGATGAGTCCTTTGGGATATCTGTTAAAATTTGGAACAATACAGAGAAGATTAGCATGGGCCCTGAGCAAGGATGATATATATAGTACATACGACGTATGCAATAGAAAAGGAAGAGGAAGATGAGTGGATAGAAAGGACCAATGTTATGGAGAGTGCACGCAAGATTGTTGGATAGTATCATGAGTACGGATGGTGGGCTGCAGCAGCAGAGAAGACGAAGATGATCACAGCTGCAGACATTGTATGTACCTGTATTGTAATCTGAGTTTGACGCACATCTGAGGATTAAGTAAATTGTATGTTAATAACAGTCTGTTAGTGAGCGAGTGTCTGTTCTCAGTTTGCGGAGTTGTAAATATGTCCTCAGGAGACTTTGAACCGAGGCGGAGGGAGTGTTGGGCTCAGGCTGGATTTGAACGGGGACCTGGCCCAAGTATGAGGTAACTACGGGTTGTTTTTATTTTTGCTGTGTTTTTCAAATCTTTTGCTGGCCAGATTCGAGCCTGGGACCTGTAAGTAGAGGCACTGTTAGGTATCCTTAGGTGCATAGGATCTAGACGCATAGAACTCTCTAGAGTAGAGCCTGGTAGATTTGACAGAAGTAGCAATGTGTTTGCAAATTTAAGCTTGGGAATGATGGGAAGAGGAAGCAGTGCTATTTTTAGAGTCTACAAGGAGGAGAGAGCCTGGTCGCAGCCATAGCCAGTGTGTTCTGGCACTAGACTGAGTTGTTTTAGTGTGGTTTGTTGCTGGCTGCTCAGGGCAGCCGGGCAATTAAGTGGACTTTGTTTTCTTTCTCTCGTTTTCATTAAATGTGCTCATGTGATTTTGCAGATCAATTTTGGTGTGATGTTCTCTAGCAATTTTTTCTTTTTTTTTCAAGAGCTTGTTTTTGTCATTATTTACTTAATGAAAAACCCGTGTGCAGCATCCCTTTCATAATTTACTAAATTAATGCTTCCCTCCATTGTGGCCAAGGGACCCTGAGACTGTAACATTGATTGTGTCCTAGTAATGAAGGATATACCCCTGGTGCTCCACCCCTCTTTCTCCTAATTCACTACTACTGGGGCTCTTGAACGCAGCTGTTCTGTATTTCTTCTCTGAGCCTTACCTGGCTGCCTGATTTCCTCATGAGCTCCTGTCGCTTGTGTGACTGGCAGTTAAAGGAGTTTTGCCTCTGGCATCTGCAATCCTCTTCCTTTATCATTCCTCTTCTTCCACTGTCTATGCCCTGCCTATACATGCTGCGAAGCTCTGTAACAGGGATCTGTTGCTGTATGCGAATTTCCCTTTGGAAATACAAGTGGACCCGCCTCAGCGTGGGAGGCGGGTGGAGTTTTTTAATATTTTTTAATGTGAACAGTGTTTAAAAGAAAGCGGGATGATAAACACTGCTGAAAGCACTGTCTGTCTTTCTCTCTCCTCCTCTCTCTCTCTCTCTCTCTCTCTCTCTCTCTCTCTCTCTCTCTCTCTCTCTCTCTCTCTCTCTCCCCCTGCACACACACTGGGGGTTGCTTCAAATGCCCACCACTGTGCCATGCCATGGTGTGAAGATAGAGGCCCCTGTGTTTCAGAGGTCCACCACTGTGCCATGCCATGGTGTGAACATAGAGGCACAGTCAGGTTAGCATGTGTGCAGCATATCTCTGTTCGGATCACTGTGAAGGGATGGCCACTGCCAGCCTCTGCCATGAGCAATGCCATCTATCTTTGTCTTGGATTCATCTCCCGCACCTGTGTATCAGATGTCCGATATATACGGTTGTGGCTTTGACATGCAATGCTTGAATAACTGCGAGCATGAGCCTGCGCTCGTGCTGGCAGGTTAGCAACACGCCATGCGCCCGCCAATATTTCCAGGAAGTTGTCATGGACACACTGTGTCTTTACTGCGTGGACTAACCCCGATGCCGTCATCTGCCACATCCTCTCTGTAACGCTGGATTTGTTCCGGCGCAGTGGTCTGTTTCTGTGGTATGCAGGCCCATCTATTCTGGGGGCCAGCAGTACAGTTGCTCATCCCGGGCAAGCATGCACAAAAGTTCAGTGTAATCCTGAAGGTAGAAAGAAGAGCCTTTCCCAGTCATCCTTGTTAAGTTTACTTGGCAGATTCCCACAGAGGAATCTGAGAGGGATTGCAGGGAAAGGCAAGCTGACAGTCAATCCTCCTAATAGGAGAATTCAATGCTGGTCCGGGTTCATTCGTCCATACGAAAGGAAGCGTGACTAGGTTCATGATGCACTGATTTTGACTTCCCGGGGGAATAGGAACCGAACTGACGCTCCCCAGAATGGATATGGAGCCAGGACCATAAGGGCCCGTTTTGTTTGGAAAAAAAAAAAAGAGAGAGAAGAAGAGCCTCTGCCCCTGTCGCCTGAGACACTTTTCGGGGGGAGGCTTGGGGCGGCAGCTCTGTGATAAGTACTCATCCCCCCATCTGGCACAAGTGGTTAACAGTGACCCCAAACTTTAATGGCCAGGAAACCTCCATCCTGTACCCAATCGCACATTATGGGGCCCCCGGGGGGAACAGTATCCAATCACAGGTCTGCCCGTCCAGTCACTGGGCCGCACCATCAACTCGGCTCCCTCAACTTATTCTTCTTCTATCCGTTTTGTCCCATCATTTCACTTCTATCCATTTCCTCCCTTCATTTCACTTCTATCCGTTTCCTCCCTTCAGTTCCTTTTCTTCTTCCACAATCTGTTTCCTTCCCCTTTACCTGTCTATGATTTTCAGCTCTTTGCACCCGAGGTTTAACCCGCCACTCCTACCACCCTCTCACTCGTCTTCTTACCACTTCCCTATCTCATACACCCTATCCTACCTTCAAGCGTCCCCGTCGAATGTTTACCCTCCTTTATCCATTGTATCCTTATATTGTGGTCTCAGTTTTCCCTATCGTACAGTTAAAAAAAAAAACTTCCCCTTTGTATGGAGTCTACTATGGACTTTCTGCACTACAGCGTCCCCGTCGTATCGGCATTATGTACTCATTTTGTTCCCTACCCCAGACCCCCTACTATGTCCTGCCCCTATCCTAACCCCTACCACCACCCTACATGCCGTTAATCTACTCCTCCACATCTATCGCATACTTATGTAAAGCAGGGCAGAAGATCATTTGACCTGTCCCCACGTCCTTTCTGACCAGCCTGGGGTACCCCCCCAGGTTTTCCAAAATTTGCTATCATCATTCGTTTCCTTCCTTTTGCACCTCTGTAGATCCACCAGGAGCGCTATTCATATATTTTCCAAGACTTTTTTTTTTATCAATTCTTTGCTAGGGGCTGGCAGCTTGATGAGGGACAGCAGGAGCAGGAAGAACAGCTTGCGCTTGTGTCGGAGGAGCAGGTAGCAAAGGGTACGAAAGAGAAGAGTGTGCACGATGCCGGAGCACGCGACCCGCACGCGGTCGCGAACGTCGGACCTTCACGGTCGTGTCACGCAGGAGTGTTTCTGCAGTCGAACGTAGGTACCACTCCAGTCGTGCGCGCCGGCCATACTGCTCACGGGGCCTTGCAACAGGACAAGACTCCATGAGGTATAACTTACCTCTGCCTGAGAGGTTGTCACCACCCTTAGGTAGGTGTATCCTTGCTGAGCTACTGACCTACATACAAAGGTTTTGCCTTGCAATCACAGAGGTAGTCCAGCCGAGGGTGTTTTCTCGATCACAATAGCATAGCTATACGCGTGGTAGAACACCTAAGACTAACCCGTGTAAATGTCGGAGATTAGGGCACTGTTTTTTTCGAACCGACTTTATGACTCAGGTCGACTTAAATCACGAACTGTCGTGCTTATACTAAACGGACCCATAACTCATAGGAGAATAAGAAATATAATAGTTGTCGGGGAGTGATAATAAGGCGAGGTGCTATGCGGTACTCAACAGTATATAACCCTTTAGTGGGTCGTGGGCTAAACGTTTTATATATGCATACATTACAAATAGGATCAAGGCTGAAGTTAAGGCAAGGAGATGTCTTTACATTTCACGTACACAAGCAAAAAAAATTCACAGAGACAAGTATAGGTTTCTTGACCTTCCAATTATTTATCAAAATTGTGGCGGATCCACCAGGTGTGGTGCTCCGCCGGGGATAGAGATGGAGATGGAGGAAGAAGGGGGAGCGAGATGGCACAACACAGCTCCCACGCCAGACTCCAACGCACGTACTCCAAAGTGTGCGAATGCAGAATGAATCGGAAAACAGACAACAGTTGGGGTATACCCCAGCGGACTGACGGGACTGGACTGGACTGGCTGGTACCGACAGAGGTACCGGCCTGGACTGGACTGCCCGGAATAGAACATAGGTCTGTGAGAACAGGCCAAGGGGCTGGTCTCATAGGCCAACCAGAGGTCCGCTACACGATCCTCGGCATGTGATGGATCGCCTAGATACAAGCACACTTCCGCCAAGAAGCGGAACTCGACAAAAGAAAAAGAAAACCTGAGTAGTCTAGGATGCGGAGCAAGCTCCATGTTGAGTCCATGTGATGCAACCTAGGGTAGAAAATGTTACAAAAACAGCAATGTCACAACTAACAGCCTAAGTGAAAGCAAAAGCAAATAACTAGCATATATGTCCTAGGAAAGCAGAAAGTAATGACAACTAGGTCCTAGATTTGTTGGAGGCAGTAACCTCTGTCTGGAAACAGCTCACTAGTGTATAAGTCCTAAGAACAGCAAAAGCAGAACAACTAAATCCTAGAAATGTCGGAGGCAATAGCCTCAATCTGAGATCAACAAAGCAACAACAAGTCAACCATATGTCACAGGAGGAGTGTGTCGCAGACCAAAGGGTGGGATGGTTTCTGAGGGTGGTGAATGCAACCTAGGGGTCGATAACTCTTAAGGGCATCCACACATAGTGACTGGGGGAACAAATGTCGTCAGGCTCAATGAGAGTAGGGGACTGGGAGCGAACAGAACCAATGACCCTAACAGATAGATTATCAGGGCGGGTAATGCTCGACTAAAGGGGTGACTGCTATGGAGCGTCGACCATGCAAGGGAACAAGGGAGCCTGGTATACTGGGCGCACCTAGATGAAGCATGCAAGGCTGCCTAACTAGGGCGTGAGGGGCGGCAGAGGGTAGAAAGGTGATGGGTAAGGGAATTATGCAAATGACTCCTAAAGTGAGGGAAGTCGGAGCTAGATCCGTAAGCTGGGAAGCCAGGGCAACGCTACGGTCTCAATGCCTATGCGTATACCAAGGGAGAGCCCAACTCAGAGGAACCTGGCGAAGGGAGACCATCATGCGACACAACCAGGGTACTGTACAGGGTAAAGTGGTCAGTGGGTGATGACGTCTGAAGTAGGCAGAGTTGATCGTGACGAAGTCCATGAAGCTGCCGATGACGTCCATGATGAGAAGTTCGGAATGACGTCGAGGAAGAGCCGCAACGTCGACGAGCTGAAGTGGCAAAACTGGAATGGATGGAGTACTGAGAAGTCAAAGACGTGGGAAGATAAGTCAGAGTCAATCGTTGTATCGAGTAGGACGACGACGAGTGCGTTGTGGACGCTCAGAAGCATCCGGCTGCTGCTGAAGGTCTGCTTAAGACGGAGCAAGCTCGACTTCAACGGTCTCCTCGGCAGAGGGAGAAGGAGGAGGGTCAGTGGGCTGAGGAGGAGCAGTCAACCCAACACGACGAGCACGATCATAGGCACGCACCAACATGCGAGCGTGCTGCAAGTGCTCGAGGGGCTCCCAGGTAGCCTGCTCATCAGGGTAACCCTTCCAACGTACGAGATACTCGACGTGGGGAGGGTTGTCGTCGGTGACTCAGCGACCAATGATGTTTGAAACGAGGAACTCCTCGTGGTCGTCCACCATGATGGGTGGAGGGCACTCGTATGGTCGTACGACGAAACGCTCAAACGGTCGGAGGTAGAGACGCAGTAATGAGACGTGGTAAACATCGTGCACACGAGCCTGGCGTAGGTAGTCGGGCAGCTTCACAAGGAAGTTGACTGGGCTAGAAGCCGTATGAGAACCGACGACATGGAGAATGCGGCATGGGCCAATGAAGCAACGTCGAAACTTGCGAAGCGTGTCCGCTTCGAGCTGTAAGTGGCGGGCGTCGATAAACACATCATCACCGAGTTTGAATGTATGATCCATCCTCGATCGGTTCGCACGTGCGGCCATGCGAGTCTGTGAAGCGGCTATGTGCTCATGTGCGGTCTTCATAATCGACGTCATGTGTGCAACCCAATCATCTAGCGCGGGAGAACTCGTGTTGGGGTGCATCTGTGACGGTCGAAGGAAGTCCGCGAGAACACGAGGGTGATAGCCGAGGTCGCAATAGTAAGGCGACATCCCCATGGCCGGCGAGACCGGCGAGACGACGTGGTTGTAGGCTATCTCCGCGTGGGCAAGATGAAGATCCCACTGCTGGTCGTCACGAACAATCTTTCGGAGAATATCTCCGAGAGTCTTGTTCGTGATCTCGGTTTGACCATCAGTTTGGGGATGGTAAGACGAGGAGAAGCGGAGCTGAGTGTCGTACACCTCGTGGAGCCGTCGCCAGAATCGACTGGTAAAGCGCGGGTCACGGTTAGATATGATGCTCAGAGGTAAGCCGTGGTCACGCACGACTCAGTCAAACACGATGTTGGCGACCTCAAGTGCACTGATGGCATAGCGGCACGGAACAAAGCGTGCACGCTTTGTGAAGCGGTCGACGACGACCAGGATAGCATCATGACCGTGGGGGGTCGAAGGACGAAGAGGRCCGATAAAGTCCATCGAGATGGACTGCCAACGACCCTCAGGGATAGGAAGAGGTTGGAGCAAACCATAAGTCTGGTGGTTCGCATTGTTCACCTCCTGACAGGTGGGACACTCTGCGACGTAGTCCTTCATAAAGTCTTTGCGCTTCGGCCAGACGTACAGGCGGCTCACACGAGCCAACGTTTTGTTGAAGCCCATATGACCGGCGGTTGCGTGGTCATGGAACTCTGCTACGGCCCAGACACGTAGCTGTCCAGTGGAGGGAATGCAAATACGGGGCTCTCTGGTGCCCTATGAACCATGCCAGTACACAAGACCGTTGTCCCCGAGAGAGTAGTTCGGGACGGTCTTGCCATTCCGAAGGGTCGCATGGATATCGTGATAGTCGGGGCAGTGGCGGTACTGAGTGTGAAACTCGTCGATCACCGAGTGGTGGACGGTGGTGACCGAGATGAAAGTGAGTTGGATCTGCTCCTGATCGTGGTCAGGGTGTCGGGATAAGACATTTGCGACCCGATTAGTCTCACCCTTGATGTTCTCAGTGGTGAAACTAAACTCAGATAGGTCGCGCCACCAGCGAGCCTGTCGAGGAGTGAGCTTCGGTTTTGTCAGAAAAGCCTGGACAACAGAGTTGTCCGTGCGCACCGTGAATGGTGCCCCGTGCAGGTAGTGACGCCAGTGCCGAGCGGCATAAACTACTGCGAGAACCTCATGTTCATCAGCAGTGTAGTTTATCTCGGCGGGCAGAAGCTGACGGGAGTAGAAGGCTATCGGACAATCACCTGAGCGAGACTCGACAGTGCCGTCCTCGGCGATGGTGGGAGAATAGTCAATAGAAGGCTCGACAGTAGCTGGACGAGTAGGCGTCAGGCGGGAGGCAGTGGTAGGGGTAGGGGGTGGGAAGCGAGGGATACGAGAATGAGAGGAATCCGGAAAGGAGGGAAAAATCTGAGAAAGCACAGCTCCTACAGCAAAGTCTAACGCATCGGTGGAAAGGATAAAAGGGCGATCAAAATCGGGGAGGTGAAGAACCGGTGCACATGTCACCGTCTTCTTCAGAGCGCGGAAAGCGTCCTCGTGGAGGGGTGTCCAAGCCCATGGGGGGTTTTTCCGAAGGAGGGGGGAAGTAAGGACGTAGGAATACCTTTTTTTTTTTTTTTTTTTTTTTTTTTTTGAAAACACGCCCCCTGCAGTGTTAGTGGTGCTAAGGACGTAGGAATACCTAGCGAGCGTATCCCTGGATGAAATTACTATAGTAGCTGGTAAGGCCTAGGAAGTTGCGAAGCTGCTTGGGGGATGTGGGGACGGGCCACTCCGCAATAGCAGTGATCTTTGCGTCGTCCATGCGGAGACCCTGGTCAGACACGTAGTGTCCTAAGAAATCCACTTTGTACTGGGCAAAGCGGCACTTGCTCAGCTTGGCGTAGAAACCATGTCTGCGCAAGCGGTCAAGGATGTCACGGAGGTGTCTAAGGTCCTCCTCAAGGGTACGACTGTAGACCAGGATATCGTTGAGGTAGACGAGAACGTACTGCTCCAGGATGTCCTTGAAGATGTCGTTCATCGACCTCTGGTAGGTAGCGGGTGCGTTGGTGAGGCCTAATGGCATCACTGTAAACTCGTAGTGGCCGAAGCGTGATCGGAACACTGTCTTCGGCTGGTCCGCTGCAACGACGCGGATCGGATGGTAATCGCTACGAAGATCAATCTTCGTAAAGAAGCGGTTGCCTGCTAAGCGGTCGAACAACTCATCGGAACGAGGCATGGGGTAGCTGTTCTTAACCGTGTAGCAGTTGAGACTGCGATAGTCGATGCAGAGACAGAGAGTTCCACCCGCTTTGCGAGCAAAGAGGACGGGTGCACCCCACGGGGAGTTGCTGCTGGGTTTAATGAAACCCAGTCTCAGGAGCTCCTCAAGCTTATGCTTGAGTTCGGTGGCCTCGGGGATCGAGAGTCGATAGGGTGCCTGATGGTGAACACGATAGTCAGGCACAAGTTGGATGGAGTGTTCGACGTCGCGCATCGTTGGGATGCCGGCGTACGAGAACGACGATGGGAAAACGTCATGGTACTCTTGAATGAGGTCACGAACTGCGGGCTCCAGGTCAGCCGTATAAGCCACTTTGAAGTGTACTTATTTGCTTTGCTAATTTTTGAAATGTGGTGGAAATTCCATAGGGACCCAAAATGGAAATAGCACCTATCGTGCGAGTTCCTCAGCGTCAGCGTCAGCGCGCGACGGAGGAGTGGACTCGACGGACGGCGGAGTGGACTCGACGGACGGCGGAGGGTGGGAAGTAGAGATGGGAACCATGGAGATAGAAGGAGGATCTGGCTCTAGAGGGATGAGCTCGGCATCGGGACAGGGTGGATCATAGTGTAAGAGATCCGTCACGTTCACTAAAAAGAAGGTGACGTCGTCCTGTCGGATAAAGTGGGCGAATTGTCGAGGCGAGGTGACAGTGATAGAAGGAGATGGTGTGGGCACGGAAGGCTCCGGGGGAGGAGGATCGGGGCGTGGTGTCGCAGTGGTACCTATGAAAGATACACGATACGTCTGTCCACACTTCGTTTTGAGAACGAGAGTGTTGGTCGCCCAATCGGCCTCGGTGCTGCGGAACCGACGAGACCACGAAGTGACGAAAATAAAGTCGTACCCCGTCTCCATCACATCGAAATGTGCAGAGGAGCGGTGGCGATGAGAACCCGGGGGACGATCAGTCGGCTCGAGAGTGAGGAAGACAGGGAGGTCGGTGACCGTCTGATCGAAGAAGCGTTGGGTCTTGTCATCCCTTAGGGTGACAGAGATGGGAGTCGGAGACCCTGTCGTGGGTAAGCGGGTTTCTTTCACCACACGTAGGTGAATGAAGTCGCCCTGAGAACCGGAATCCCACAGCGCTGAGTACACCCTCGTGGAGGTCCCCAGTCGTACTGGAATGATCGGGAGGGTGCGATCAGGGTCAGAGAGGATGGTGAGAAGGCGACGCAATGCAACGACATGGAAGGTGAGTCGCTCCTGACGAGCCTGGAGCATGCTCAAGTCCAGAAGAGAGGACACAACGTCCTCGCGAGTCGCCAGCTGCTCGTTGCAACGGGCTGAGCGAATGGCTCGACGTGTCGGTAGTCACGGCGGGGTAGGAGGGGAGACGGTGGTCTGCAGAGGCGCAGACGGTACTGCGACAGAGGGCTGAGTACACTCTGTCCGGTCCTGCGAGACCTCAACTCCAGTAGCGAGAGGGGCAAACCGCGACGGGGATGTCGCGAAGCTGACTACTTAGGAGGGCATAGGTGTACACTGCACCGTGGCTAGGAGGCACCGCGGGGATGCGAGGCGCCGGGGGGGGACTGAGCACGACGCTGGCGGGAAAGGTCAGCGTAGTGGCGGTCGAGGGAGGCGGTGTAAGGGCACCACGAGGAGGTATGACCATCCTAGCGGCAGCACACGCACCCACGCTGTCGAGCGCATCGGTCCGGCACCGCATGCGGCGGCGCGGGACCCTCTCGGCCGCGTCACGCAGGAGTTGGATCAACCTCGACACAAACACGCATATGGAGCTTCCTTAGGCCGCTTCGGCCGAGTGCGCCAGCCATACCTCTCACGAGCCCCTACGACAGGATAGGGCCTACACGAGGCATGACTTACCTCCACCTTACGGGAGTTGTCACCTCCCATCGGTGGGCGTATCCCCGCCGAGCTACCAGTCCACAATACGAAAGCTAATCAGTTGCAATCGCAGAGGTGGACCAGCCAAGGGCGTTTCTCGTTCGCTGTAGCATAGGGGGTACGTGCGGTAATATGCCTATCGGCCCCGCACGCGACCCGACATCTTGGGGGGTTGAAGTCCCAAGCGCGGCTCTACGTCGGTCGACTAGGACGCATCCCACACACCACGCGCACACCACTCTGCGAACGTAAAAATAAAACACACGCATACGTACGTACAACGCGACACAACACGAGCAACGCGACAACGCTCCTAGCCCCTCGGTAGCCGTCCCATACCTCCCTGATTCAGAAATCGAATAGGCGTCGCGCGCGAGACTTAATATCAACTGCGCGGACGTGGGGGTTAACTTATATGAACTCGCAATGCAAGCGTACGCAAGCAGTCGCGATGACGGCGTACTATGTAGTACCCACACTCGCGCGGCCCTCGTTAATCTCGAGGGTCACGTTCGACACTCAAGTGTCGGCTGACATGCGCCTTGAGGGTTAATCTCTCGACGCCAGACAACCGCCATGCACGGTTGAAGACCACACACCCTCTTCTGCACCCATATGCAGAGTGGGTGGTACACAGATCCATGCCTGTGGTGGTAGTCGTCTCTCGCGGCCCTAGGGGTAAGTCCTCCCAGGGCCTAGGCGAAAGTCAAGGGGTTTGACTTTGACGGCTGCCACGGACTACAACGTCCAACCATAAAAATCTCTAAGAAGCAAACAAAACACGCACGAACCCAGGAAGAGGGAATAAGCCCAATAGGGCAAAGGTCCCCTGGCCTTTGAAAGGACTCGTGCCCTTGGAGCACCCCTTCCCCTCCATAGGTGGTGCCGGCGGCCTATAATATTCCCGAGCGCTGCGCCTACGTGCTAGCCCGACGATCCCATAACCTTTAGATGCTGGGGCGGCGAAGCGTCGCGCGCAGGATTCTAACATACAACTGCGCGGCCGCGGGCCAATTCTATGTCAACCACTGATGCCTATCGTACGAGGTATTCGCGGCTCGGGCCTCGCGATATTGAATGGCTGAAGGAACACATCGCGAGGGGTCGCCCCTCGCAATATTGAACGGCTGAAGGACACGTCGTTCGGCCCTCGCGACATCTCCGTCTTCAAGGTGGGGTGTCTCGCCGACCAAAGTAAATAGGCTCTATGTGAGGGGAGACTCTTCCCCTGCAGGGCCTAGGGTTTGGGATGTCCTGGACAAGGACCTTGAATCCCGGCCCAGGAGCAACGTCCGACTATAAAGGCTCCAAGACGCAAATAGGCAGAAGGGAGGGTGTTCCCTGCGCCTCTCAACCTCAGCCCTTAAACGGGTTTTAACATGGCCTCTCGGGCCTCTCGAGCACTCATCCTAGGTATACTCACCCATACATGCACAAGGGAGAATAGAGATGCGACGATCACCTCTCACAGGCACAGTGGGATCCCTCACAACCATGTATATGTATATGGGATCGCAGGCAGTCAAAATCCAAAATTCGAGTCACAGGACATACCTACAATCACATCAAGAATCAGACAACAAACACGCAGTACACGGAGTCAACCCCAACCATTCCCTATGCTCATACCCTTTCGCTTTAGCCATGCAAGCTCCAACCGCCGATCCAACCACCCTCAATTAAATACTTAGTACCTTTGTCAAATGACCATTCAATAAAAGTCTGGGTGAAAAACTTAACAAACAGTAAAACCACCAGGGCTAAAGCCTTTTAGGTTGAGTATAGAGAGTGAGTTGGAATTGAGTCGAAGACCGACGAATCGGCAACCGACCTGTTATCGGTGATAACCGAAGACGATCCTCCAGGGATCAAACTGAGTCTAACCCTGATCTTGAATCAAACACCCCAAAGGACATGTAACACATGACAGGTCAAATGCCCAACCTATATTATCTGCATATGGCGGATGAGCCTCCAAAGAACATTTTTACTCAAGCCGTCTGCCAATTAAGTCTTAGCCCACTTCTTAGTCAGTGCCAAAAGCAAAGATAGACTAATGGCAGAATCTCCCCTATTCAGGGCGGATCGCCATAATCACCACCTGTCAAATCATAATCTAACTCCTCTACATCAAGAAAATTTCAGCAGCGCTTCCCGTAGAAAAAGTGTTTTTCCTGAATTTATACAAACTCAAATATCAAAAGTTAAAGTAATCTATGACTCTTGAAAGTCAAATTTTGTCTATCTCTCTGAATTAACAGAAATTTGGGCAGCATCCCCTTTGGAATTTGGGGATTTCCCAGATTTATACCAATTCAAATTTGAACTCCGCCCCCAACCTTTAGTTCAACTTAGACAAATTATGACTAACTCCTTAGTTTTGCAGAAATTTCGGCAGCACTTCCCCTATAAAAATGTTTTTCCCAAAATTTATACAACGCTAAGTTTATAGCTTAAGACTAACTTTGACTTCTCAAAGTTCAATTTTGTCTAACTCCCTGAATTAGCAAAAATTTGGGTCGCACTCTCCTTACAAAAGGAGACTTTCCAAATTTTTACTAAGTCAGATATACATGAAAGGCAAACTGAACTTATACAAGTCAAAATTTGTCTGACTCCTAGAAACTGTAAAAATTTTGGCAGCGCTTCCCGTAGAGAAAGTTGCTTACCAAAATTTATACAAGTCCAAGTGTAATAGCGAGTCTCAGAAAGGGCAAGAATCGATCTAAGTAAAATAAAGTCAACTCTGAAAATGCAGGAATTGACCTAACGTCGATCGCTCTAGCACGTGGCGAGCCTCTAAAGCAACTACCCGTCAACCTGAAACCTGGACCAAGTAGTAATCTCACTCCGCCACATGCAAGCCAAACCACAAAGGTAAGTACTCTCACCATCCCCAAGCCAATCTGAGCAAACAATTGTTCATGACCTTTCAGTGAGTTATCCTCTCATAACCAACTTACATAAGACATAAGTCAGGGCATCTGAACTTACAGAGCGCGTCCAACTTAGCCAGGCCCAAGGTCAGAATACCTAAACTTATAGAGCGTTCTGACTTGGCCAGGTATACACAAACAGAGGGCACAACTACTTCTCTCTTCTTTGGGCGTATGACTAGACCACTCTAGTCGTCCTCAACTGTTTAAATAGCCAATTTATATATACCTCTCTTAATTTAATCTTCAAAAGGGGCATAAGGCTGAGCCGCTCAACTTAGAACACTGCTCAGCCCGCCCAAGTTTACTTTCAGTTATACCTCTTAGTTATACTCTCTTCAATTGTGATAAGCTATAGTCAGGCTACCTAAACTTATAGAGAGGCCTAATGAGCCTATTCATAATAGCATAGTAGTACAATATAGCCAGATTATATCAATTGGGTTCCAACATGTGCAAGGCATTGGGTCAGACTACCTAAACTTATAG